GTGAGCGCCGGGGACCGCGCTGCCTGCATGCGCGCAGCCCCAGCCCCGGGCGGCCGCTGCGGCAGCGCCAGAGCCCGACGCAGCCGGACGCTGCCGGACGGGGAGGGCGGCGCGCCGCCCAGGAGGTGCCCCGGGTCCCCGCTGGACCTTCGTGACCGTCCAGCGCCCGGGTGCGCTGCAAAGACGAGGACCCGACTCTTTTGAATCTCCCGGTGTCTGGGCGCGGGGCGACTCTTGGTATTTTCTCACCCAACTCGTGGATTGGAACGTGGCTCCGCGCTCCGAGCGCGGCCGGCGACTTGTAGGACCCCAGCCCTGGCCGCGGCCGCCGCGCACGGCCTCGGACGACTCTGCGGGGCAGGGGCCGCGGCCGGCCGCGAGGGTCTCCGTGTGCGCCGCGGGCGGCTGAGGGCTGATTGGAGGGGTGTCCCTGGAGGACCGATTTAGGATTTGTGGTGAACAGCATGGAGGAAAATGACCCCAAGCCCAGCGAAGCGGCGGCGGCGGCGGCAGAGGGGCAGCGGCAGCCGGAAACCAGCCCCGGCGCCGGCTCGGGCGGCGGCGGCGGCGGCGGCAGCCCAGGCGACGCGGACACTGGCCGCCGGCGGGCTCTGATGCTGCCTGCGGTCCTGCAGGCGCCGGGCAACCACCAGCACCCGCACCGCATCACCAACTTCTTCATCGACAACATTCTGCGGCCCGAGTTCGGCAGGAGAAAGGACGCGGGGCCGTGCTGTGCCGGCGCAGGAGGAGGAAGAAGCGGCGGGGCCGCTGGCGAAGGCGGCGCCGGCGGCGCAGAGGGAGGCGGCGGCGCGGGCGGCGCCGAGCAGCTCCTGGGGTCCGGCCGGGAGCCCCGGCAGAGCGCGTCCTGTGCTCCCGGTGCGGGCGTTCCGCTGCCCGGCGGCGGCGGCGATTCCCCGGGCGATGGGGAAGGCGGCTCCAAGGCTCTCTCGCTGCACGGCGGCGCTAAGAGAGGCGGCGACCCCGGGAGCCCCCTGGACGCGGCGCTCAAGACCCGAGGCTTGGGCGGTGGTGACCTGTCGGTGAGCTCGGACTCGGACAGCTCGCAGGCCAGCGCCAACCTGGGCGCGCAGCCTATGCTCTGGCCGGCCTGGGTCTACTGCACGCGCTACTCGGACCGGCCTTCCTCAGGTGAGCCCGCGGGACCCCGGCGTTCCAGCCCGGGCAGGGGGTGCTGGCGCGGGAACGTACGGAGGCAGGAGACACCCGGACCGCTGCACCTACCACCCCCTCAGCCCACACAAAGACGCACGCCGCGATGTTGTGTGCGGCCCGGGCAGCGGCCGGGAGGAGGAGGGCAGGGTTGATTCGCAGGGTGCACGGACTCAGAGAACGGCGGGAGCTACCGGGCCTCCTTTCGTGCCTTTTGGGACCTCCCGGTGGCTCCTAGCCCACCCCTCTCCTAGCTGGAAATTTTCTGGGGGGTGGGGGTTGATTAGAAAACAGGCCCGGAAGCTCGCACTCTCAACCCCTTCTCTGTGTCCTTCCGACTCGGTCCCCGCAGGGACAGCCCGCGGGAACCCATGCCCGGACTCATCCGAGACCCAGTTATGCCAGTTGAACCCTGGGAAGAAAGAGCAAGGCTTCCAGTTCTTCCTCAAGCTCTTCAGCCTGGGCTGAGGGGCTGGGGGGTCGGGAAAGGGGAGAGAAGAGATGGAAACATTTTGCCCTTTGCCCAGTTTTATTTGCCAAGCTGGTCAGAGGGCTCAGCACCCATCTTGCACTCTGCGGGAGAAGGACCTGCAGTCTCCCCACCGGGAAGGGCCTTCCCGAAGGTCTCTTCCAGCTCTTCCCGTAGGAAAGAAGCAGATCTCAGAGGGGCTGTGGGGGAACTACGGGTTACGTGCAGAGGGGCTGGGTGTAGTTTTCATAGATCCAGGATTTTGAAAACCTAAGTCCATGTCCTTGTGGAAATCCTCAGCTGCATTAAATGCAGGTCTGCGGCCGATAACCACCGTTAGAAAGGGATTCCATTTGTCCCCGAGCTGGCAGCGCAGACTGGACCCTTCTTGCCCCACAACCTGCAACTCTTTTGCTGGTATTGTTTACCCAGATCACAGCACAACCGAGTCACCCCTTGGACGACTTCCTGCAGAAATGTTTGTGTGTATACCTCTGATCAAATCCAAGTTTCTCCAGCTAGATCTGAAATTTGCTCCATTGTTCTCGCCTCCCTCCTTTGTTAATATTTAATTAACATATAGGCTCACAATGCGGCCGGCGAGGAGTCTCGGCCCGGCTTTGTGCGGCGCCGGAGTCGCCGCTGCTCAGGCCCCAGTGGCGCTGGGGAGCCGGGCAACCCGGCCCGGCCCGAGTCGCCAGTCTTCCTGGACTTAAAAAAACATCCACATAAGCTAAGGTTTCTGTTTCTCGGCGTTTAAGGACTAAGCACTGCAGAGTTTTCTTGCGGAGGTTTGGTTCTGTTCCCGAGATACCCAGGTGTTTGCGTTTCGAAAGAAAATTGAGGGAGAAAGGCAGCTAAAGATTCTGATTTAGGGGAGACTTTCCTTATACAATAGTGTGTGTTTTCGGGCTGATTCGTGTGTGCAAAAGTCCCAGTTCCAGAGAAATTTGGGAGGCAGGGAGCGTGCTTCTCCGGGGAACTGCAGACAGAACGGGCTCCTGTAGCAGGAGGCTGCGGCTGGGTCCGAGCAGGTGCGGAGCCGCGCGGGGCCGCCGGGGTCCTCGCAGAGCCCCGTCCTTGCCCCTTTGCCCGTGCCCCGGGAGCCAGGCCCACTGCCACGAACCCGCACCCTCCCGATCAAAGCCAGGCCCGGCGGCGCAGAGCGGATGCGCTCAGCGTGTGCACACCAGTGACCGAGTGCGCGCGGGGACTGTGAGCGTTGGGGGTGAGTGTGGTCTGGGGGTGCGGGTGTGAGTGTCCGGGTACGTCAGAATCTACAAGGCCTGGAATTTGAGCCCAGCGGCCCTTGGCGCCCCCTCTTTGGGGCTCACTTTCTGAATTTGCCTCCGAGAGAGTGCACGCTCCGTGGCGGGGAGGGACTTCTCGGCGCCCCCTCGTTCCACCTACCAGCCCAGACGCCCCCCTGGCTGGGCGCCGGCTCCAGCAAGCTCATTTCCTCTGCTGGTCGGGGTAGGGACGCAGTTGGGAGCTGGGGCAGCTGCGCAGGGTGACCTGTCTGTGCGGTGGGGTTGTGGGTTCAGAGAGGGGTCTTGGGGTTTTTTACTGCCCAAGGGAGCCTGCAGGCAGTGGAGGCCTGGCAAGAAGCTAGGGCCCGGAGCTCCCTAATCTTGATTGAGAAACCCAGATAAGCAGTCTGGATTCCCTCCCCCAAGGCCTTTCCAGCCTTTTTCCTCAAAGACACCCTTGCGGGCTGAGCTTCCCGACCAACGAAAATGAAACGCTTGCCCCCCACCCGCAGCCCAACTCTTTTTATCACGGGATGGGTCCTAGGCTGTGGTCCCTACCATAGCCTCCCCAAACCTCAAGCCCTGTGGATGTCCCTGCAAGAAGATGCCCCAGTTGTGGGGGGGTGTCAGAAGTGCAGCCCCTTTACTCAAGGTCACCAGAGGCCCCTGCAGTGGACAATGAGGCAGCCCACGCACCAGGTCCCCTCTCCTGCACTGGGGGATTGAGGGGATGCAGCAGGGCCCTCCACGCCTCCCCCACCCAGGAAAGGAGTGTGCTCCCCTGCTTTTAGAGGAACGCAGGGCCAGTTGGGGGAGGCCGACCTGTGGGCCCCTGGCGTTCTCAGAAGACGCAGCCACGGCTCCCACAGCTCATGGCACCTTGGGGGTGCCTGTCACAGCTCCCGGAGCTCCTCCTGCTACCCTGGCTGCTCCGCCCCTCCCCCAGTCTTTGCCTCTCACCTCTCTCGTAGCGCCTATCCCCTCCCTATCCTTTTTCTGGACAGAACCTCACAGGAGGCTAGAAAAAGCCATGCTGGAAAGTTTTGGTTTTTTGCTTTCGTGCAGTTTTCCTTTACTCCGCAGACCTGCCTTACCCGCACCCTCGCCGCCCTCCCTGTGGACTTATCTGGCTCATCTCGCTCCCCAGTGCTGGGCCCTGGGGTTGGGCGGGAGCCCACACCCCGTCCCAGGCCCAGTAGCTTTCCTCCTGGCCAGCCAAGTGGCCTCAGGCAGGCACCTCCCCCTAGTCTGCGCCCTTTCCTGACCACCCCGAGGAAGCAGGCTGGCCTGGATCTCTCCTCACCCCGTTCTCTCTGTCCTCCACACCCGCCCAGGTCCCAGGTCTCGCAAACCAAAGAAGAAGAACCCCAACAAAGAGGACAAGCGGCCACGCACAGCCTTCACGGCGGAGCAGCTGCAGAGGCTCAAGGCCGAGTTCCAGAACAACAGGTACCTGACGGAGCAGCGGCGCCAGAGCCTGGCACAGGAGCTCAGCCTCAACGAGTCGCAGATCAAGATCTGGTTCCAGAACAAGCGCGCCAAGATCAAGAAGGCCACGGGCAACAAGAACACGCTGGCCGTGCACCTCATGGCGCAGGGTCTGTACAACCACTCCACCACAGCCAAGGAGGGCAAGTCGGACAGCGAGTAGGGCGGGCGGGGCCGGAAGCCAGCTTCGGGCCGCTAAACAATGCAATAATAGAAAATCGTCAATAAAGGGCCAGTGTGTAAAGATTATACCAGCATTAATAGTGAAAATATCATATATTAGCAATGGTTCTGCAATATTCTATGTATATATAATTTACAGGTGGTGTAAAACTCAAAATATCTGACTATAAAATTTTTTTGTTTTTCTTTGTGTTTATGAGATTATGCATAAGTTTATGATTTTTTTTTTTTTTGCAAAGGGGGCTGCTTAGGGTTTCATCTTTTTTAATCCCCTAAGCTCCATTAAGGGACATCGGACACTTTTTATTTCAAAAGAAGAAAAAAATTAAAACAACTTGCTGAAGTCCAAAGATTTTTATTGCTGCATTCCCCCCAACTGTGAACGAATAGCTCCTACTTGGTCTGTGAGCCCCGCCACTTTGAGGGGCTTGCTGAGGACAGCAGGAGGATCACCCCGCCCGAGGTGACGCCAGGGCCTGGAGGAGAGCGGGGCTTGGCCGGCAAGTGGCGGTGCTGGACCCCAGGGCCTGCCCCAGGAGTGGGCTCATGGTGGCGGGCAGCCTGGCCCGCATGCTTGCCATACTCCCCGCCTCCCCTCCTGCCTTCTCTCCTTGTCCTCTTTGCTGAGGCTGGCCTGTGCCTCATCGGTGCTCCCGTCTGGTCTGCGTCTGTGTCACTGTCCCCTGTCCGGCCACCTGCTGCCAGCACTAACTCCCCTGCCTCTGGGCACTGCTTGGGGCTCCCAGCTGAGGGGCTGGTCATGTGGCCTGCTTCCCTCGAGCTGTGGGGCAACCCTTGTTCCTCCAGGCCCAGGGACTCCCCTGGAGCTCCAGCAGCCCCGCCAGGCACTTGCCCAGGCCCCAGAAAAAGAGCCGAGGTCTGCAGCTTACGGGCAGGCAGAGGGCTCCTGTGAGGGAGTTGGCATTTTCTTCCTTTCCTTTTTCTTTTTTCTTCCCTTCCTTTTTTTTTTTTTAAGTGGCTGCTTCTGCTATGGAGAGCATTCTTTCAAGGTAAATATGTGAGTGTATACATATGTATGCATGTACAAACACGCTCAAGCAAACACACATGAGTCCACAGTTCTGGAACATGTGGTCACCTTGACTTTGAAAGGAACTCAGAATCCTCCAGGAGCTCGAGGAAGGAAGAGACTGTGTAAATAATAATTTCTTATCACTTTATGTCTTTTCTTGTTTCTTTTTATATACATTTTATTTTTTGAAGGTGTGGCACAGTGTAAATTAAATATATTCAATATATCCCCCACCAAGTACATATATATAAACAAACACATGATCTATATATATAGTTCCACACTGTCTTCTGTTTAGTGTATGGAAAAATAGAATCGTGTCCAAATGGCCATCTGCCGCCGGGACAGCCCAGCGGGCATGCCCATGGCCCATCCAGAGTCATGGTGGTGCCCCTGAGGACTGAGGGTGAACTTCTCTATTTGCCTTAAGTCTCTTTATTTCACTGCGATAATAGTTTCACTTTGTACATACTCGTGTAAACCTTTTTAAAAAGGAAACTATAAAAAGAAAAGTTGTAATTTAAAATTCTGTGAATAACCATCTGCTGCTTAGGAAACAATGAGATGATTATGCCTTTTTAGCAGGAAGAAAAGTGTTTTGGTTTTTTATTTTTTATTTTTTTTTTCAGTTGATAAAACATATGCATTTTACAATTCCAGTATCAAATATTTATGATCTTACAAGAAATGAATGTTTCTATTTACAATTGTGGTTATCAAAAATGTGAACATTCCCCCTGCATTTTTGTGTGTTTAAATTCTTGAAAGTTACATTAATAAAAAAAACCCTGCTTTATTGTAAAATAATGATGTCCATGGTGGAATGACTAGTTTTTCTAAGTGTGTTTCTGAGTCCAGCCAAACTGCCCCGGGCAACCTCCCGACGAAGGCTTAGATGCTCCAGGCCTTGGCCTCACTCTCAGCAGGGGTGCGAAGGCTTCCCTCTGTAGCCAAAGGCATAATTACAAAAAATAAATTACGAAGACAATTTGGATTTTTGGATGTGAGCACAGACCAACCAAAGTAATCTAAATACACATTTCTTTACCAGAAGGACGTGTTCATAAATATGGTGCTATTCCATTGGATGGCGATTTAAAATCCTGCAGAATCCAACAGGTCTTGCCCTCCTCGAAGCTCCTGTGCAGGGGACAGAGGCGCTCACCCCTCGTGAGGAACGCTAGGCCCGAGACAAAGAGGCGCTCCTCTTTTACATCTTGTTGTTTTTACTCCAAAGCCAAGGACGCGGACAGCATCCCAGAGCGGGTGTGTGGGTAGGACCAGCTTTGCCAGAGCTGACTGGATGCCTGGGCCCCAGAGGCGCTCTGCCCAGAGCCTCTGCTTCCTTCCTGCACGGGAATCACCTTGCGCAGCCTGCAGGATCGCCCACACGCAGCGCCCTGCTCACCCAGTGGCTCTATTTCCAAACTTTCTTGGCTTGAAAAAGTTTTCTTCTCCCAAAAGAAAGAGACTCAGAGACAACCAAGGGCCTCCTGTCCTCAAAGGAGATCTTTTAGGTGCTTACGTTCTGCATCAGCTTCCCGAGCAGATGCTTGGCCTCTGGACTGCTCTGGGGATTCGCATGGACACATGGAATGAGGGAGAGCCGGGGTCTCGCCGTGGACGCTCTGGATCCCCAGCTCCCAGCCCCAGGAGCACCCAGGGTCATCACTAATCCGATGCCATTGTGCAAGCCATTCCCAGCATCTTCCCCACACCCAACTTCTGCACAGTTTGGAGGGTTCCTAGGTTAAAAACAAAACAAAAACCCACGACCACAACTTCTATTACGTGACTGGCCTCTCCTTTTAATAAAAAGACAATATAGCAATATCAATCACTTTTGTTTTTAATCTGTTCCCAAATCATAGTACTTAAGGAGCAATGTACAGTTGTGCAAGGTAATGAGTTCCCTGTCCCCAGAGGCATGCAAGCCAACACTAGACCTGCAGTGATATGTGGAATTTCTTTTTTTTTTTTTGTCCCCGGTAGAGGATTGGACTGGATGAGCTCTCACACCCTCCAAATGCTGAGGTCTGCTTTTATTCCTCTTGTTACATTTGCTTACTCAACAGCGGGCAATCTGAGCTGGTAACTCAGGGAGAGCCCTGGATGCGCCAGCCAGCCTGCCCTCACAAGGGGCCAATGGAGAGCAGAGCATGCCTGCAGCAGAGGCAGTGCTCTTTCTGACGTCTGGCACCCCTCTCTGTTCGCCTGGTGTCCGCAGCTCTGCGCGCCTGGGATCCGGACCTGGACCACAGCGCCTTGCTGGAGGCCCTAGGCGAGGCCCCAGCCAGATTGTCGCTCTGCAGGAGGCCAGTTTCCTAAACGTCTGTCAGAGGCAACTTCGCAGAAACTCCTTTGAGCTGCCCTTCTCTCCAGGCCTGCCTACGTCCCTGCGGAGCTGTGTCCATGATTCTCCAGAGCCAAGCAGAAACAAGGTGGGGCTCCGCCAAGCAGAGGCCTAGATGCAGGTGTCTGGAGGTCCTCCCTCCTCCGACTGCCAAAAGGGGTCCGACCCTCAGGCAGGAGTCAGAATCAGGTCAACACGTGCCGGAGGGTGGCCCTGTGTGGACCTGCCCGCGCTTTTCTTACCCGAGATCAGGAGGGGGCCCTGCAGGCGGCACCAGCGTGACCTCCAAGAGGGCTCCGTCTTTGTATTTTCCTTGAGTGAAAAGGGCAAACCGATGCGGGCGCCTAGACGGCCTGGCACAGGTGTGCCCGGGCGAACAGCGCGCACAACAAATACTCAGGCACTGTGTATGCAAATAAGCTCGCCGCCGCCCGGTGCTGGCTGGGAGGCAGCGCTTGCTCACTCCAGCTCGGCTAAGTCATTCTGTCTCCTGCTGGTTTAATATCCGACCTCCGCGGTCTCTGTCCCCACCCCACCCACCCCACCCCCGCAGCTCCCCCAGCGACCCCGGGAGGTCCCGGCTCCGCCGAAAACTGCAGCCTGCCGGGCGGAGCGGCCTCGCGCTGGGAGGTTAATAGCGACTGCAGGCCAGCAGCCAGGGCGCAAGGCCGAAGGCACAGATTCACCCGGCGGCGAGGCAGAAAGCATCTTCGGAGACTGCTCTCTCCACCCACACCCACACCCCGACACCCACTTCACACACGCGCGGCAACCCCGATGCCCGGTCTCGTGGCGGGGACCCCCTTCCGCTCTTCTTCGTCTCATTTGGGCCGAGGGCTCGGCCTTCTCCAAGCCTCGAGGTACAAGAGGCAGACGGGGCAGTGTGGAGAGCGGAGGCCACCAGTGGGCAGAGCCCTGAGACCCCTGCACCCCGCGGGCTGGCAGGCCAGGGCCGACCCTAACCGGCAGAGAGGGGTGTGCGCGTGTGTGTGGCACTCTCAGCTCCTGGGTGCACGTTGGCCAGCCAGCGGCGTGAGCCCCATGTAGACCATCTATGTTTTTATTAATCTCAGATGCTTCATTATATTTATGCTGCCGGTCCACAGATAATAAAAGGCCATTCTTGGAAACTGCCTGAAATGTAATAATATTCATTAAAGTGGCTCCTAATTATGAGATCTAATCAAGCGTGGTTCGAAGTGCGCTTGGCTCTGGCTGGCGAGGTTGACGATGATGGCGTTATTATTATTGCATTGCTGCTATTAGCCTCGTGCTGGTGATAGCCAACTCTTCCGTTTAGGCCTAGTCCTCTAACAGGGATTTGGGGAGCCCCAAGATACAGGCTGGGGGGACAGGCCGCCTCCGGAGCCTGAGAAGCAGGTGTGGCCCAGGCGTGCCGCCCTTCATCCCAGCGCCAGCAGAGGAAGGCCTGGGCAACAACTCTGGGCAGACGCAGGGCTGTACCTGGGCCCCTTGTCCCTCTGTGTCCCCGGAGGACGCCAGCGCCGGTTTTCTGGGAAGAGGAAACCTTACGTCCAGAGCCTGGGACCCTCTCCCCTGGCGCCCCCCACCCCCCCAGGGCTGAGCCCCGTGCTTTGTCCCAAACAGAAACAGAGTAACCGAGTTCTGCCTCCCCGCTCGGCCTGGAAGGCGTCCCCGAGAGGCCCCCGCCCCAGTCTCCCCGGGAGGGAAGCGAGGTTGGGGGCCCAGTGGGCCGCGCGGCTGCCGGGCCTGCGGCGCGCTCTCCTGCGCGGAGGGGTCGCGGTCGGCCATGCGGCCGGGATGGAGCCCGCCACCGCCGAGGGTCCTCCGTGGGGCCAGGAACCGCGGGCCGCGGCGCGCGCGGACCGTCTGGAAGAATCGGGCAGAACGCCGCTCCGCCCCATCTGTCGGGCTGTGAAACTTGGCCGCGTGGTCCGAGCGCGCGCTGCCTGCGGAAGGGGCCGCCGGCGCCTTTCAGCCCGCGCGTTCCGGGTTCTCTCCTCCCGCCAACTCCTTTGTCTGGAAGGGGACTGTCAGGCTCTGCGCCGCTGTTGCCCTCCTCCTTCCCCCAACCTCTACCCCCTCCGCTAACTTCCCTTTCTTCGCTGGCTTTTCTCTCCTCTTTGGATGGGTAATCACAGGCTCCAGCTGCCAAGCGCGCCGCGGAGCTGCTGCCCTGTTAGTGTGTCTGCTGCCCCTCCCAGCAACAGACCGGCCACTTCCCTCTACCTTCGCCAGGACCCGGGCCCCTTGCCCTCTGGCGTCATTTAGTAGCTCTGGGACCTTGCGTCTGAGTTTTCCCTTCAGGCCAAAACTTTGATATCTCTACTCTCCCACGCCCATCAGCAAATTGTGAATCCAAAAGGCTGGCATTTCTTTGGGCTCAGGCTGTAGGAGACATGCAGAGTCATGCAGCCTTCTGTGAAATTCTACTTCCGAGGCTCACACTATTACTCTATTACTGCAAGTAAGGGGCCCCAATAAGCCATTTCATTATAACTCAGAGGCTGTCATTTTAAGCCTCAGACTTAAGCCTTCTGGTGCTAAAACATCTGGATGAAAATTGGGGAAATCTCAATCCTTCGAATAAATGATGGATATGCTAGCTTCAACCATTTGTTTGCTTGGAAAACGACTCAAGCCTGCAAAGAGGGCATTGGGATGAGTGGCTTTCAGATTCTCCAAAAGTTTGTGCTCCCACACCCTGGCTTCAGGCCCTCTCAGGTTTTGGGGACAAGTACTTATATGACGCCACTGAAAGAAGCCAGGGTAGGCAAATACAGTTTTGTGACCAGGAAGCCCTGCATTCAGACTGAAGCTTGACTGAGAGTGTATTTCTCACCCTCCATTCCCCAGAGCCCAATCCTTCATCTCCCACATGGGAAGAACACCTGCCGAATAGCTTTCTTGCAGGGCTTTTTGTGAGGGAGTGAACATAAAGTGCCTGGCACCGAACAGGGCTCGGTGAGGGGCAGGCCGAGCTATCACGCAGCAGATGCACCTGGCCATGGCTCAGGCTGGGCCCTCCGTGGCCCAGGCCTGTTTTGGTAGAGGTCCTGCCCCTCCTTGCTTCTGCCCCCAGTGCAGCATCTGTATAGTGGTTCAGGGAAAGGAAGCATGAGGAAATGTGGACAGGAAGGGCAACATTCATGTGGTTCTAAAAAGTGGACAGTAGAAATTCAGAGCTCCAGTAGCATCTTCCTCGGCTCCATGGACCCTCTGCTGTTGCAGGACTCAAACAGGCTCACATCCTCATATCAGGGCTTTCCCCCCACTTGTCCTGACCCCAGAATAAGCAGGATGCTGTGCCTTCGGGTTCCTGCCGAGCCCAGTAACTTCCGCACCACTTCCTTCTGCATTCCAATTGATATTTACTGTGCTAAGCAGCAAGTCCCGTCCCCGTGAGACAGATCTGACTCAAAGTACAGTAGCAGGCCAACCCGACGGGGAGCGCTGGCAGCTGACCACGCAGACCTCGCCTCCCCACCCTTCCTCCAGAGCAAGTGGGCAGCCTAACAGTGTGAGCGACTTTGTCTAAGTGGCAAAGGGTCTAAGTAACCCTTTTAAATTAATTGCTGTTCCTATAGCTGAAAGCATAACAGGCTTTGATTACATGCTAACCAGAATGAAACATAATCCTGTGTTAATTATGTGGAGATAATTTTATAATTATATCATTCAATTTAGGAAGCAATGTGTTGTTAACCTACAATTTTAACAGAAGTGATGATTCAAAATAAAAATGGTCATAAAGCTAGACCTTTTCAAAGAACCTCAGGGCCGTTTCTTCATTTTCCCCAATGGAAAGGCCAGCACCAGCTTGGGCGCCTACTAACCTTTTTACCTGCATGCCCCACCCCCACCCCCGCCCCCAGAGTGGAGAGGTCCTGCAAGGCTGCAGACAAAGCGGGCTGCCCTGCACAGCCCTTCCCAGAGCTGCCTGCTCTCCTATGCTAAGAATCCCATCTGAATTTCTATTCTGTCCGGCTTGTTAGTGGAAGTAATTCCCAACTTCCCCTGCTCCAGAGCCAGGAGAATGCCCTTAGTCTTCGAGGCTTTCCAGCAGGATATGAATGGAGCCCGGGGTGAAGGTCAAACCCAGGCCACCCCTGTAAGAGGTTCATTTCCTCTCCCAAGCACTAGCGCCTTCGAAGGGTGGGTGCCCTGTGCAGCCGCTAGGGCCAGGCCTGGCTATTGCTTTAACACTCTACCACAGTCCCCCTCCCCCGCTCTTTAAGCCATCCAGAAGGGGGCTTTGGAGGCAAGGTGCTTTAGGCGGGCTGCACTGGGACCCCCTCGAGGCCTGTTCCACTGGCAGCTGCAGGTGAATTTTCAGCGGGCTGAGGGCCATAAGACCAGGTCTGGGTGGAGAGTGGCATTGTCTGATTCTTTTGAACTGATCAAAGGCCATCCAGACACTTTCTCTTGGGCACTGGGTGAGCCCTAAAATTTATTTTGGCCGGTTGCACTTTGCCTCAAAGTGGGCGACTCACTGGTGACTTGTCACCTTGCAGGGAGAAAGGCAGCTTTTATGTAGTGACAGGAGCACCCTGTGGATCCCCAGCCCTGAGGAGACAAGACCACGTGGCAGAGGACGAGCATGATACACGCCCAGTGGAATCACAGCCAAGCCCAGCACTCGGTGTGGCGACTGCCTCTGTGCCCGGCGCGCAGGGAGGGGGCCGGGTGCAGCACAGAGCCAGCCGAGCCGGACGCACGTTCCCACGCAGGTAGGAGCAGCGACTCAGGGCTTAGGGCTCGCTGCTTCTGCACTGCGGCAGGCGCGGCCCTCTCCCCTCCCCCACAGGGGTATTTCATTGCACCTTTTTAAAAAAAAATGCTTCCTAGTGAAACTTGAATATGCAATGAGGCGCCAGAGCTTTGTGGCGGAAATATAATTAAACTGGTGAAAGATGTAAAAGATGAAGAATGAGGATGACATCAGGCCGATTTCACACTTGGCAGTCGGGTAGCCGGGCCCAAGCCGCGCTCCTGCCACGCAAGGCAGATCAAAGTGCCCTGCCACAGCTAAAAAGGCAGAGGGGGATTTAAGTATGCTAATCCCCAGGACAAATATATTTTAATCTTGTTAGAATACAAGTTAATGCTGCAGCTCAGTGGCTGAACTTGGTCGGACTGTATGGATCCATTTTTATTTTAGCTATGAATGAGGTAGACCTCCTGATTTATTCATAGGTAGTAAACGTAAATTTGCAAAACCGACCCCTCTTCAGGCTGGTGGCCCTCACCTGGAGCAGTCTGGCTGGCGGAGGGAATCCCGAGGCTCCGGGTCGGGCTGATCCTGACACCCTGCATCTCTCCCCATCCCTCCTTTCTGCAGACGGTCCAGTTGGCAGAGGAAGGAGCTCAGCTCATTTGGCAGAGAAGAAACAGGGAAACTCTGAAATTAAT